AACCAACTTTGATACATAGTGTTGAGTTTCGTCTAAATTTAGAATTCGTTTCGTTCATACTCTTCCGTCCTCGTCCTACTCTGACTGTGCTTGATCAAAAAAACCGAGGATGGCCCTAATGATTAATACCTACAATAATATCGTTTTGCTCCATTAAGAACCAGAACCCACTATATGTAGACTAATTAGCATCTGCAATTCCAGAATGATCCAAACATGAATATTGCTGAGGTGTCTTTTTCTGTTACTTTGGAAATATATTCAAAAGTCGTCGGCTTTTTTCCATCTTGTTGCTAGAATGTAGTGGGGGAAGACACGTCACAATCCTGAAAATGATGATTCTGCAACCTCGCTGAACGTTTCGAAGGTATTTTAAACAGTATAGATTAAAACCACGTTTAAAATCTTAGGCCTAAAGCTGTCCATGAAGAATTATTCAAAACAGAGATCAACAATAATAAATAATTGTCAGCTGACTAAGTAAACATTTGAAACAAAAATTATGATACTCGTTTTAATACGCTGCAGTATCGCGTAAGTGTTTTGCAATCGTATAGGTTTATCATCAAAGATCTGGTGTAATCCTCTCAACTTCTTAATTACATTTATTTGATAGTTTGGAAATCGTTGGAGTTTCTCAGAACAGATATATACTTATATATTCATATCAGAGATGTATTCTTCCTTAATTATTGTCTCCTTGTAGATCAAAGTGATTTCTATGAATAATAGTGCTAAATCGATGAGCCATTCACGCCATAATCAGGGTTTGTTTATCAATTCAAAGAAGCACATGAACTCAATGTCAAATCCAAGAATTGCAAGAGAATTTTATAATAATCCCATGAATCGAATAAAAACTTACACGATTCGGCAGACTATGTATGATTTTTCTCTTTTGATGTCAAATATAGTTATTGTTGTATTTTTCTAGAAAATATTGCTACTTGTTAGTGCAGGATTTCATTACCAAGCCTGTCTTTCTATTGCCTATGATTACAAGTATAACTATGACCATTGGTATATTACTAGTTTATTATACTGTACCAAAAGAAGCAGGTATTTCATTCTTGTTTTGTATTCTTCTTATTCAACACGAGAAAAATCCACAATGAGATCAGTTTGTATGAATGTAGGTGTAGGCCTTCATTTCAACCCTATTATCACTTACCAACATGCATCCACATCCACACTCACACCCTTGTCGTGTACCAAAATATTATCTTTTTCGCACTGTTCAATTTAATTTGCACAAATTTTTTCTGCATTTTGAAAACAAAAATAGAGCCATGAAAAAGTCTATCTTGTATAAATTGTACAGCTTTTCCCACTGCTTCTTGTGGTATGTTTTGCTTTTTATTTTATAATACAACTGATTAAGTGATTGAAAATTATAATGTAATATGTGGCGATTCAACCTGCTCCATCCGTTGAAAAAGAGATTATAAGCGTCAATTTGTTCGACAAATTTTAGAACACGATCTCTCACCAAGTAATACAATACAACGTTATATATTGTCTCAAAAATATCGTTGTTTTCAAATCTCAGCAAAAGTAATCAATGTTTAGAACTAGGCTTCCAAGTATATTCCTATCGTTCGAAACATAATGTTAGATCCATGAGTGTTCTATCTTCAGAAACATTATCTTCATGTAAACATTGACTGCAGCAGAGAAAAGTTGATGAGTTACACAAAACTGAGTTTTCTACTCTTCAGATCGACCATGTCAACATATTTTGAAAGTAACAACCAGACATTCAACTGGCTATAATTCCCGTCCGCGGTCAGCTGCCGTTGACGATTTAAACAATGACACTCGACTAGACATCGTTGTAGCCAATTCTGGAACCGATACTGTTGGTATTTTTCTTGGTTATGAAAACGAAACTTTCCTGCCGCAAAAAACCTATCAGACTGGTATAGGATCACGACCATATTCGGTAGTGGTAGGCGATTTCAATGATGACAATCAATTAGATATCGTCGCTGTCAATTATGGTACCAACAGTATGGGTATACTGATTGGGCACGGTGATGGGACTTTTGAAAGTGTTCACCTTCATTCACTTGGCTCTTCTCGACCAGTGTCGGCTACCGTTTCTGATTTAAACAATGACATGCACCTTGACATAATCATTGCAAATTATAACATTGGCAGTATAGGCATCTTACTTGGTTATGGCAATGGATCGTTTTCTATTCAAGTAAAGTATTCAACTGGTTACGACTCTCTTCCATGTTTCGTCGTTGTTGCTGATTTGAACAGAGATAGTTACTTGGACATTGTTGTCTCAAACTCAGGTACTAACAATGCAGCTGTGTTTCTCGGATATGGTAATGGGTCTTTTTCCTTTCCAAAGCTATATCCAACTGGAGTTGATTCACGTCCACTTACAGTCGCTGTGGGCGATTTGAACGGTGATAATCGACTAGATATTGTAGTCGCCAATTATGGGACTTCCACTGTGGGTGCATTTCTTGGCTATGATAATGGGACATTTGCAAAAATGGAAATATCTTCAATTGGCTCCAGATTTGGCCCACATTCCATGGTCATTGGGCATTTCAATAAAGACAATATATTAGATGTGGCCGTAGCCAATACAGACAACGATAGTATTGTTGTACTTCGTGGATTAGGCAATGGGACATTTGCGAGTCAAGAAATGCACTCCACCGGCATTGGCTCTAGTCCTATATTTGTGATCGTTGGCGATTTCAACAATGACAATCAATTAGATCTAGCCACGGTAAATACTGGCACTAACAATATTGCAGTATTTCTTAGATATATCATCAAAATGTTTGCAAATCAAACAATGTATTCAACTGGTTATGGTTCTCTTCCTATATCGTTGGCTCTTGGTGACTTTAATAACGACAGCCTGCTTGATATTGCTGTCGCTAACGGTAGGGGTTCCAATGTTGGTGTATTACTAGGATACAGCAATGGATCTTTTGGTGCACAAACGATATTTTCAACTGGAAGTGGTTCTCTTCCTTTGTCAGTTGTTGTAGGTGACTTTAACAGCGATAGTCTATACGATATCGCCGTCGCTAATTCAATTACTAATAATGTGGGCATATTTCTGGGGTATGGCAATGGGAATTTTGCAAAACAAAAGACACTTTCAACTGGGAGTGGTTCGAATCCTTCCGTGATCGCTGTAGGTGACTTTAACAACGACAATCTGCTAGATATAGTTGTCGCAAATTCCTATACTGATAATATAGGCATTTTTCTCGGGTATGGTAATGGAAGTTTTGCAGCACAAAAGATATTCTCAACTGGGAGTGGTTCGAGTCCTTCCGCGATTGCACTCGGTGACTTTAACAATGACAGTCTTCTCGATATTGCCATTGCCCATTCCAATACTAGTAATCTAGGCATGTTTCTCGGATATGGTAATGGGGCATTTGCAGAGCAAACGATACGTCCTATTGGGCATGGTACTTCTTTTTTCGCGTTCGCTGTAAGCGACTTTAATAACGACAGTATACTAGATATTATTGTTGCTGACTATCTAGATGAGACTGTAAGTGTACTTATTGGATATGGCAACGGAAGCTTTGACAAAATGATGACATATTTCATGGGATATGGTTCTCGTCCGACTTCACTCGCCCTTGGTGATTTCAATAACGACAATATACTCGATATTGCTGTGTCGAATGCTGGCGCTAATCAAATAGTATTGCTTTTTGGACATGGTAATGCAACTTTTAAAATGTTAACGGCGTATTCAACAGGTGATGGTTCTCGTCCATTCCCAATCATGGTTGGTAACTTTAATAGCGATATTTGGCTGGATATTGTAGTCGGGAATATCATTGCAGGTAGTGTTGGTGTGTTTCTCGGTATGGATAACATAAATGCAGCTAGACAAGCAAGCTATTCAACCGGTTCTGGCTCACATCCATGCGCTGTGGTAGTCAATGATTTCAATAACGATAGTCTGTTTGATCTTGCCATCGTTAATTCAGCACACGATAACATTGGTATTCGTCTAGGTTATGGAAATGGCTCCTTCGCAGAGGAAACAATATATTCTGCAGAATTTAGTTCTCGTCCAAAATTCGTTACTGTAGGAGATTTCAACAGTGACTATCAAGTGGATCTCGCCATCACCAATACTGAGAACGACAGTGTAACTGTTGCTTTTGGAAATAGCAATGGAACTTTCACAAACCAAAAGGTATATCCGACTGGACACGGCTCGCGTCCAAACTATGCTGCTGTTGGTGATCTTAATAATGACAGTCGACTGGACCTTGTCATTTTGAATGAGGGCACTAATACTGTTGGAGTTTTCCTCTCTTTCGAGTATGCAACATTCAGAAACCAAAGCTCCTCCTCAACTGGAGTCAATTCTAATCCGGAAGCCATTGCCATTGGCGACTTCAACAACGACAGTCTTTCAGATATGGTTGTCGCAAATTCTAATAAATATAATGTAGGGATATTCCTTAGTTGTGGCAACGGGACTTTTAGATCACAAGAAACATTTTCAACCGGAAGTGATTCGAATCCTACCGCAGTTGCTGTAGGTGACTTTAACAACGACAATTTGCTGGATATAGTTGTCGCGAATTCCAATACTGATAATTTAGGCATATTCCTCGGGCATGGTAATGGGGATTTTGCAGCACAAAAGACATTTTCAACTGAGAGTGGCTCACATCCTTCCGCAGTCGCTGTAGGTGACTTTAACAACGACAATTTGCTGGATATAGTTGTCGCGAATTCCAATACTGGTAATTTAGGCATATTCCTCGGGCATGGTAATGGGGATTTTGCAGCACAAAAGACATTTTCAACTGGAAGTGATTCGAATCCTTTCGCGGTCGCTGTAGGCGACTTTAACAACGACAATCTGCTGGATATAGCTGTCGCAAATTCCAATACTGATAATTTAGGCATATTCCTCGGGCATGGTAATGGGACTTTTGCAACACAAAAGACATTTTCAACTGGCAGTGGTTCCCTTCCCCACTCAGTTGCTGTAGGCGATTTTAATAATGACAGACTTTTTGATATAGCCGTGGTCAATTACAAAACTCATAATATAGGCGTATTCCTGGGATATGGCAATGGGAGGTTTGCATCCCAAATGACATATTCAGCTGGAAATGGTGCTCTTCCCATAATGCTTACCACAAGTGACTTGAACAATGACAATAATCTGGATATTGCTGTTGCCAATTATGGTGCTAATAATGTGGGTATCTTCTTCGGATATGGTGACGGGAGTTTTACTCAACAGATGATATTTGCAACTGGAAGTAGTTCTGTACCGATTGCGATTGCCATTGGAGATTTTGACAACGACAATCGATCGGATATCGCGGTAGTCAATCGTGCTGATTACATTGCTATGGTACTTGTTCGAGACAGTAGTCAGCCTTTTCTAAGCATGACGACGTATTCAACTGGCGATGGCTCTCGTCCGCAATCTGTGGCTATTGCAGACTTCAACAAAGATTACTACCTCGATATTATCGTCGCTAACAGTGGCAACGATACTATAGGTATACTACTTGGTTATGGTAATGGAACCCTTACGAAACAATCGACATTCGCAACTGGAAATGGCTCGCAACCATGCTCAGTCGCCGTCGGTGATTTCAATAATGATAGTCTGTTAGATATCGTTGTTGCTAATTCTGAAACCAATAATGTCGGTATATTACTTGGATATGGGAATGCAACGTTTTCTACAGTCGTCCCTTATTCAACTGGAGATTCTTCGATCCCATACTCGGTCGCTGTAGCTGATATTAACAACGATAATTACCTTGACATCATCGTTGCCAATCGAGGCTCCTTAGATGTATTTGTTTTAGTTGGATATGGTAACGGAACTTTTGGAAAGCCGCAGTCTTATTTACTAGGCTATGGTTCTCAACTATATTCAGTGGCTGTCGCTGATTTCGATAAAGACGGTTGGATCGATATTGCGGTTGCGAATTATGGCCATGATGAAGTAGAAATTATTTTGCAGAAATGCGATACTACCTAATCTATACTTAGAGTTCCTTTTTTCCACTATACGTACTTTTTACGCAAACTGTTTTAAGATGTACCATGAAGCTTTTTGTCTACTGCTCTCATTATTCTAATCAGAAAAAAAATCTCACCTATCAAGTCAGTTTTCTTCGAAAATTCCCTCAAAAGTAGAATGTGAATGTGAATAGGGCAACCATAGCGACCATGCGAATAAATCTCATCAGATGGTTCTAACTTAGCATCTGTTTAAATGATACTTGAATTAAGAACGAACTACGAAAACTACATATAGCCGTTACAATTTCTGTAAGGAGACAGTGATTGTTGATTCATCATATACAATCTAAGCGCTATAATTGATATGTTAACCTGGTTAAATGAATTGTGTGATGAGTGAACTTTTATTGATTATGTTTATCGTTGATTTCAAGACATCTAACAACGCCATCTTTCTGCTAGTGGAACTCATTTTGTTTTCTTTTTTAACAAGATGAATTTTCTGAGGTTTTTTCTCTTATTAGCAGCTTTATCTTCGATGACATATATGCATCAATCGAGAACTAGATCAAACTATTTCTTAAAAGAATAGACAAATTCGTTCTACTAGTCTCAATTCTTGCTTTTCAGCAATCGACTAAGTCAAAAAATGATTAACAATAGAATAATAAATAAGTGCGTGTAGATACAAATAAGCAAAGAAATCCTGAGTTAATTTCGCCGACACGTTTCATGCTATTGATTAACACATAAACATTTATCAGGACTTCGCATTAGAAACATCAACACTAGAGAAACTCACTGACACACCGTGCTAGGACAATTTGTTGCGAGACAATTCGTCGCAATGATATTATCCAATTACAACTTTCCATTATTTTCTCATAAATGTATTGACCTATTAAGATAAGTTAGAAACACATAATTCAATGAGTATGACAATTGTAGAGACTATTTTTAAACACTAAACTTTGAATTTTTATTTTGGGTTGTATTGCCATAAGAAATTCTGATTTGATAAAAAAAATCGGATCTATTTTATGCATTACGAGTAATACTGATGAGATGAAAAAACCTCAAATGTGAGAAATCATCAATACTAGTGTTAGCACTGTATAAATTATCGATGAATTCAAACTAGTCTAATTTTAAACATGTCAAATAAGAGCTGATAATTTTTAAACTAACACAATTTGTACGTTAAATAAGGACATTTGATAAAAAGATTTGATCAAAAGCTTTTTTAGTTATGCTAAAGCCAATCTTTGTTAATGAACACTAAGTTTCACTTATTTTCTCAAATTATTGTTCCATGTCTTGTAAATCCTGAGCTACAATAGGAATTGAAAGAAAGATGCAGCACCACTTCTGTTTCTATAAGAATACTTTTACCGCTGACATAATTCAAAGAACCTAACTTTTTATGTGTACCATACGATTATTGTACTGCTCGGAATCAAAAATCAAAGTTTAGTGATTAAAAATAGTCTCTACAATTGTCATACTCATTGAATTATGTGTTTCTAACTTATCTTAATAGGACAATTCATTTATGAGAAAATAATGATAAGTTATAATTGGATTATATCGTTGCGACGAATTGTCCTGCAACGGATTGTCCGGTCACCCTGATACACAAACAAAATTGACTAAAATTATTGGCTGATGATGTGAGTTTGGGTGTGGGTGGGTGTGGGTGTGGGGTGCGGGTGTGAGTGTGGGTGTGGGTTTGGGTGGGTGTGGGTGTGGGTGTGGGTATGATGTGGGTGAGGTGTGGGTGGGATGTGGGTGAGGTGTGGGTGTGGGTGTGCTGATGCATTGTTGTCAACACCCACACCCACAAACCCTGAAAATTTCAGCCAATTCTGAGAAAGTCATGTATAAAGTGGTACGTTTCCCATGGATTCACCCAATATATTCACAAACGGAGAAGAAATGGCAGAAAAGAAAAAAAAAAGGCGCTACTGTCAACGTAAACTAGTTTCTCATTCTTTTCTCAAAAACTAAGAGTTGTCCAGGAAAGGGGGTAGCATATTTGAAATCCTTATAAAATTCTGAATCGAATGATGTATGCTGTTTTCTTGTAAACCACTCCCAAGAAAATCGATTCGATTTGCTATGTAATTCAATGAAAAATTATTTCTAAAGAAAATCTTTTTTCTGAATAAAACATCGAATTTTCTTTTCTTTAGTGAATTGAATAAATTAGGATTCGATCTTGTTCATTGTTTATCAATTTGAAAAACTGTCTTAACAAAGTATTTCTCTCGGTTTGATATTTCTTTAATAATAGCATTAGTAATAAAAATTAGAAAACATTTTTTTCAAATAATTCAAATTTGATTTCCATGATATTTTCGCTAAAGACCAATTGAAATGAAATGAAAAATCAATTCATTTGTTATTCAAAAGTCAATGAAAAAGAATTATAAAATCCGAATTGAAGTTGAATAAGAAAGGAAACAACGTTTGAAATTCTTTCGGCTTATTATTGGTTTTATTGGAAGGAGAATAGTTTGCAAGAAAACAATCGATTTATTTTAAGTGGCATTCTTCTCATAACAAATTTTTCTTCTTTTAAACAATTTCAAAATGAAATAAGATTTTTCTTTAAAAAAAAGAAGATTATTTTACCTTTTTGGTCAAACAATATTTAATGGTTTATTTCTTATTCGATTATTTACTGAAACACAAATTATTGGGTTAATTATATTTTTCAACTCAGTTTTAGAATAATTGATGTGTAACAGAAAATTCGATTTTACGTGAAACTTTATTGAAAACATATTTTTCCAATATTCTCTTGATGAATTAATCTCTTGGTCAAATATATTTTTAGTCGATTATAATCGATCAGTTGTGTTGAATATATCTGTTAGAGAATGCAATCGAAATCATCATATATGTAGATCGGTTAAACAAGTTTCTATTTGAAATGTTAATTAAATATGAATACGTCTGAGGAAAAAAACAAACCGTCAAGAAACTTGTAACCAATATTTATCTATTCACTCGATTTATACATTGATCAAATTTTGTTTTCAGTTAAAACGTTGACATCACAATGGGCTAAACTTTGTTCTAGCATCAACTTGCGCTGGTTAATGAAAAAAAAAAGACTTTGACTCTAGCGAAAGACGCTATGAAGTATTCGTTACTGAAATCATGAAAGTTGTCATGTGTCGTTACTGAATAAAAGAATACGTATTTACGTTATGCGTTTGCTATTACCCAAGTTAAGTACATCTTCTCGATATATCAGTTAAATGCTTTATTTTTCAGAGCTCACCTTTGTGGTTAACTAGTATCGTCTAGTAATTCTATTGTGAATTTCACCCGATCAAGCACATTATGACAATCGATTAGTACTTAGCTAACATTTATTTGTTCTTTATTTATTCTTACTATTGCTGTTTCACATGCACATCTTTACTAAGAAAGTTTGTTCTTCTCTTTTGCTAATCTGTTTCAGATAAATTGATTGTTTACCTAATAAAAAAACAAAATTACAGATAAAAACATCATTTCAATGTGGATTAAGAACTGTTATGTTTGTTAAACGTGATCGGTCTTTTACGGACGAGAATTTCAACTTTATTCCATAAAGATCTCTAGCTTATCCTGAAAGCGATTGTTTCTTATACAAATTTGTTTATTCTTTGCATGTTGCTCAATAGTTTAAATATTGAATTAAAATTTTTGTTTTCCAGTTCGACTATTTCTCTTTTTTTATTTGATGTGAGATAAAATCTTCTTTAGAATAGAATAGACCGTTTTTCGATCATTAGAGACAATAAATTTCTGCCTGTTTCAATTTGTACTACCATAGACGTAGTTCAAAATAAGTAGAGAGTATGATTGCACGTTCGATTTGTAGGATGGGTGCTTTGACGAGAATCGAACTCGCAACGTTTTTTGTCTGCAGCAAAACAATCTACCATTGATTTACAAAGCGAAGTAATCGAAACATCATAGTCTACTCTTTCCACCTCATATATAAAATGTGTACTTTCAGGTTGATACGTATGAATGATGTGCAATTACATTTCGCGTTCTTTGCTTTGCTTCTTACATTTTCTCTCGAGAGTTTCAATGTAAATTGAATTGCATCAGTTTTCTTCAGAATATATGCTTCAAATAATATGAATATTTATTCTGTAACAATTATTATTTTGTCTTTTTATTCCAGAACTTTTACGATATTTTATATGAAATCAAAACAACAAAAAAAAACATATATGAATGGTACTTTCCATTCCGAAAAGAAAATTTGGAGGCTCGATTAAGATAATAAATAGATCAAGTATGCTAGAATATATTGTGTTATGTATGATGAAATTGGATAAAAATCGATACAACGGGCAAGAAGTTCACTCTATTGACAAAAGATCGAGCGGTTCGTATGAAAAGCTTATTTCAATGGCTCTTCTACTGATTATCGAGGTTCAGTGTCGACGCTTTTTTTGATCATTTGCTCTTCTTTTCTTGATGCTCTGAACAAGGCGTACAATCCAGCAAGGCCAATGATCACAACACCTGCTTTTACATATTGCCGATTGATTCGTTCAGGAATTTGAGGTGGCTTTATCGTGTTAGAAGTTGCTGTAGTGACGTTCACCCGTGATGCGCGGATGAACGATGGAAAACGAGAAAATAAGCGGAGGTTTGTTGGTAAAAGAGACATCGATCGTTTTTTTTCGAATTATAATGAGCACGTGTGGTGTATAGTTGCAAGTAGAATATTTGTTATGACGTGTGCGCTATGCAATATACGTCCTTCTCCTTCTTTTTTTACACATACTACGAGTTAGACGTCTTTTTTCCTCTCTTCTTCCATATATTGTACGTCGATACACGTACACATATCACGTGTACGTACACGTGCTTCACTTTAATCATCGAAAGTGGATAATTAGGAACCAATTAAGTCGTTAATTATTATAAATAGTAATTATGAATGTAATTAAAAATCAGCAATCAAATCAGAACGGGAGAGATGTGACAAACAATGCAATT